CGACTTCCCGTGGCTCCAATCGCCAGCCTAAAGGGCACCCGGACCAGTGTATTTTGTACGGAGAAGCGCGGCTCCGGGGCGCCGACAAAGCAGCCGCGCGGGCCAGCACAGCCGCGCTGGCCGAAACAGCCGCGCTGGCCGAAACAGCCGCGCTGGCGACCGTGGAGCACCTCTGCCCGGGAATTTCCTAGTCTGTGGGCAATAAAAATGCGGCATCCACTCACCCTCTGCGCTTTCACTGGAAGCTGCGATCCTGAGCTCGTTTTTTTTTTTTTTCTTTTTTGAGACAAAGTCTCGCTCTGTTGCTCAGGCTAGAGTGCAATGGCAGGATCTCCGCTTACTGCAACCTCTGCCTTCCAGGTTCAGGCTATTCTCCTGCCTCAACCACCCAAGTAGCTGGGGTTAACAGGTGTGTGCCACTAAACCCGGCTTCTGCCACGTTCAGGGCTCCTTAACTTAACTGGTTTTAATTTTTATTATTTATTTATTTATTTTGACAGCACTAGGAGGCTATAAGGAATTAGGAGGAAGGTCATCAACAACAACAAAAATAGCTACTTACAGGTTTTTCCAGTTCAATAGTGTAGTTCTGTCCTATTCTCATCACTTTGTAGTGCTTGATTCTTGGCATGCTACAATGAAACAAATGGTTAGTCTCCATTTTATTATACAATTGGGTACATGCAAACTAAAGTAAACATAAAATATCACCTGTATAATCAACCTATGTTTTCATGACTGTAATTTGGCAAAAAAAAAATTAAAAATCCTTGGTGGTTTGCAGTATGTCTTTTTTGGGGCTGCTCAGGAATATAGGCAATCTGGGTCATTGAGTGGGTGAATGAGAAAAAATAAACAGAGAAAAACAGGAATCAAGAATTAAAAACCTTTCAGGTAGAAATAATTTAATGTCAGTAACCTAGAAAGTAAACAACATAAAATTCTATATAGGTATATAAAAATCAAATATATATTCTCCATATTAAGAGAGAAGTAGAAAGAATTATTAAAAGTACATTGGTTTCTACTCTACATTATCACTAATTCAACCAGAAGGCACTCAATAGTTGTTATTTATAGCTCATATACCACTGTGAATATCTGCTAACTTTGAAGCTGACTTAGAGAGATGGAAAATACTGGGTCTTAGGCACTATATGAACATATAGATGAGAACATGAGTACAATACAGGTATTGATTGACTTACTACCTATGCAACTTATGAGCATTCGACTTTACAACCACAATCACTAGCCACGACTGCTTCGCGTCTGGCAGCGCAAACATTGCCCAGCTGGGCTTACGACAGTGCGAACCAGCTTCCGGCAGCACTACCATCTCCGTGTGCACCATTTCAACTGTTATCCCAGACTCGGTACAGCAATTTGTGTTTTGTGTCTTGGATATTTTTCATCAAACCCCTCCCAATAAACTTCTTATACATTTTGAAGCAATGGACCCAAACATCGAATGATTTGCAAGGATTGAACAGATGGTGCCCGATGTGTTTCGCCCGTATCGTGAAATTTATGAAGAGAAAAAGAAACATACAATTCAGACAAAGCTCACCATGTTTATGAAAAAACCAACTCCAGTAACCCCAACTGCTGCCTCAGATGATGACATCAACGATCCACAGCCAAGCACCAGCGGCCAATAAAATGTTTCGTACATGTTTATATATTTTGATATGTTTTGCAATTGGGAAAATGTTTCCTATGGTATTTTTTACACCTGTATTTTGTATTTTGGTATGCACCTGTATTTTGTAATTTTGTATGTTTTGCAAATATTAAACCAGTTGTACTGGTAATGCAGTGTTTTACTTAAACCTGACGAATGTAAAAATAAGAAACAAAATGGTGTAGAGACGATAAAATGGCATAAAATGAACAAAGAAAATTATGATATATAACAATAATGAAAGAAAATTATGATAAAATATGACAAAGATTTTTATAACATCATTTCACAGTACTGTACATATAGCCTACTCAACTTACAACCAAATCGTGTTACAACAGGCCTGTCGGAACCAATCGTGGTCGTAAGTCGAGCACTAGCTGTACATGAATTGTAATGTCCTCCTCTTCTATAGTCACATAGCACTCAAAATTATTACCACTTGAATACATGGTTATTTTATTGATTATGAACTGCTTATGAACAAGAAGCATATCCTATTCATCTTTGTATTCTAGCATTAGGCACACAATACATATTTATGAAGTTGAGTTTTTAAAGCTTTAGTAGCTGGATGGGTGGGGTCACACCTGTAATCTCAGAACTTTTGAGAAGCCAAGGCGGAAGGATTACTTGAGCCAGGGAGTTAGAGAACAGACTGGGCAAAATAGTGATACCCCATCTCTACAAAAAAATAAAAAAAAAAAATTGCCAGACATGGTGGTCCCAGCTACTCAGGTGTTAGGTAGAAGAATCACTTGAGCCCAGGAGGTCGAGGCTGCTGTGAGCTATGATTGTGCCACTGCACTCTAGCCTGGGCAACAGAATAAGACCCTGTCTCAAA